CTGACGCAGGCAAGGCTGCGATGCAGGAGTAGGCCAAAGGCGCTGGGAAGGGTTTGAAGTCGCGGGGGAGGGTTTGAAGGCGGTGCAAAATGCCTAACGTCGCTTTTGGAAGCCCATAAGAAGAGAAGAGGCAGGCCTGCGAGCTGCCGAGAAGAGGAAGAGGGCAAGGCTGCGGTGCAGGAGTAGGCCAAAACGTCGCTTTTGGAAGCCCATAAGAAGAGAAGAGGCAGGCCTGCGATTAGAAGAGAAGAGGCAGGCCTGCTGCCGAGGGGTTTGAAGACTTGGCCAACTGCTTCACCCTGCGGTGTCCCAGGCGCCTCCCCGCCTAGGCTTTGGCTATAGGCCGGGGTCGGCGGATATTACTAAATATATATATATATATATATTAGATATGTACAATATCGTAGCATATTGTAGTCATTTATATATCGTAATTAATATAACAGGCTAGGCTTTGTTAAATGGTGTTTCCGTTTTTTAGATCAGATGTTGGAGGAGTTGCGCGATTCATCAACATTCAGAAACCATAACAGAGTAGCTGCTCGGCCATCTCTCGTTTGGGAGGCATATTTTGAGCAGAGCTTTCGTAAAGCTGACATCACCCACTTGGGATGTTCCCCATCGTCGACCACGAGGTTTCGGGGATCCGCCAAACGTCCTTGCGCAGGTCCAACAGTGGTTGGAGTGTGCCAGATGATGGGGAGGATTCTGCAGATGTACCCCGGATTCAGACAGTCTGATGGTGCCGGTGGGTCGGGGGGGGGGCGGGGTGTGGGAGTTTTGCTTGGCTCCTACATTGGTGGCGCAGGGGGATGAAAGAGGCCCAAAGCAATATGACAACCACTGGGGATTTGGTGGATTTGTGCCTTTTTTCTCGGTATGTGGGGGCTCCCTACCGGAAATATGGGGAAAAAACACACCTTGTTTCTGCTTCACCCACTTTTTGGCTTTTTTTTGCCATGATGTGGTTTCGACACCAACCTCCCGCAAAAACCACGATGGTCAAGCTCGCCGCCGTGAGGCGTTGCTTCCTTTTTCTATAGGCTCTGCAGGGAACCGGAACAGCCACGGTCGGGTCGGTCTGAGGGACAGGATCCCTCGTCTGTCCAGTCCCGTTCGATTTGCACCTGTGGAAGAACAAAGCCAGCAACGAACATCAACGAAACACTCCTTCTGCGAAGAAGAAGACATCAATGTAGTTCAACCGCTGTGGCTTCCACTTGGTCAAAGACACGGCCAAAGCGTCTTCCCACCCAGCCTGAAGCGGAAAACGGTGGGTTCATTTGCCTTCAGAAATTCAGCATGTTTCAGCCTTAATTACACATTACACTGTGGGTATCTATGTTTATTTGTAATACTTAAACATATATAAATATATATATATATATATAGAGAGACGCTAGCGGTCGCAGACCACGAATAGCTTCACAAAAAGAGACACATGTCGACACGAAAAATATGTATTGACACATGGTTTTAACACATGTTTCATGCTTTAACACATGGTTTTCACCCAGACTTCCTCGGCTGAACGCCCCCTTCTTGCCTCCCGCACCGCGGACCGGTCCCCAGGGCTCGGGCCCCAGCGGACCGAGCTCTCCGGGCATCGCCCCGGAGCCGCCGAAGCGCGGCAGCCGCGGCAGCTGGGGGACCCCGAAACGACGAGCACCTGGAGGGGGGGGCATTGGGAGCTGGTGGGATTCGAGCCTCGTTTCAGAGGCTCGATGGCACTGGCAACCCAAGATGTCTGATGGGGTCCATATAAACCACCGAACTTGGGGTCTGTGCCATCTACTCTCAATCCACCATAGGCCTTGGAGCAGGTCTCATGGCTCGAAATCGACCGAAAGGGCACACTGAAGGTCTCATGAATGATACTTAGTATCACCCTTTGGTGGACACACTGAGTCGCAGGGGGCTGACCTGTTGCAGCGTCTTGGTGGGGTCCATCAGAAAGCCAAGTAATTACTGCGGTAGAAGTGTAGGTCTTGTTCACAGTGATTCTTGCTATCTGGGAGTGTTTCGTTTCTTTTTCTATGTTTTTTTGCTGCGGAGGGTCCTTGTATTGCGACACGCCAGGTGCGAATGCAAGGCAAAGTCTTCCAATGCAACAACAAACCTTTTTCGTTGAGAATCTTGTGATTGGTTCACAACTTCAGCAGCAGGGGATGCTCTAAGTATTCAGGTTGCAGTCCTTGATGGTGAGTGGGGCTCCTATCCCTTCAACACCCTCATCCCCACCAGGCAGTCTTGCAACAAACAGAGCCACAGTGTAATATAAAATACACCATAGTATATGCCTATACAGAACAGAGAGCCACCGCCAAGCCCATGCTTCCGCACCCAAATCATCGCGCAACGTCGCGCGACCGACCGGTAAGGCCAGCGAAGCATGACGAGCGGTCTGTGGCTCCTCAACCGTGCCAGTGGCGACTTTGACGATCTGCGCACCACCGCCAAGAAGAAGTTGCCACCCTGGCGATGTTTTGGGAGAATGGAGGAAGAGCCCATGGGGGTGGGGAGAAAAAGGGGCCAGAGACGAGCGTGAAGATGACGACCAAGCATGCTGGTGGTGTTTTTGCTGTGACACGGAGAGCAGCATCTTTGGTCGGAAATCACCATGAGTTAGTAAATTCTAAAGATCTACCAGCACCTTCCAACAGGTCTCCTTTGGAGGGTTGTTAGGCCTTAACAGGTTTCAATTGGTGACCTGTTGGAGGTGCTGGTACAGACTCGTTGAACTATCAGGCACAGTCATGACTCCTCAACCCGCCTGAGAAAAACGGACGAGCTGGGCGACCATGGCGAGACGGACGGAACACAGGTCTACGTATAGCGTGTTGGGACGGAGATACTGCATGAGTGATTCACCCACATCCACGGTCTGGGCGGTGAAAAAGCACCCAGTTGGATTCATTTGATTTGATATTGGTGTGGGATGAGGACGTACTCTTCCCGCCGCTTGGAGCTTGACTCAGTCTTACTGTTCTCGCCCGGAGTCGCGCCAATGGAAGACATACAATCTACCCTCTGACTCACTCACATGGAAGATCATGCAAGTGGAGTTCACCACCTGTTTGGTCTTTGGATTTCATGGTCCCCAACCCCCCATCTCACTTCCCATCTGGTTCGGGAGTCGGAGAGTCATCAGTCTTGGGTCGTCCTGTTCCTACCAACGACGAACAGCGGCTCGTCTCGACGTCGACCGACCGTGAGGTCCGGAGAAGCTTCCGGGGGTTCTACGGCCCATTGGTCACATGAAGAAAGATCCACTGCAGAGCCACCAGTCACAGGAATCCTATCTGGTTTCCATTTGATTGATAGTGATTAAAGGAAAAAGGTAAAGGTGTCAGCCATTTTTCACCTGGTTTTCGCACATGACCGGGTCATGTGCGATCCGACCACGGACCGGACCCTCCGGAGCCCCCCGACGGTTCCGACGCATCGTGGGCCCAGGCAGAGGATGAATACCTCGGTGCAGGCCTTTTCCCAGGCGGAGTCGGTCCCAGGATGAAGTCGCAGTTCTTGGTTTTTTGGTCCAACATCGGAGGGTCCAACATTCGCAATGGCGCTCCGACACACGCGTTTCTGGGTTGGAGGCACTCTTGACAATCTTGCACCTCCAGTCGGGGTGGTTAATGGACAGCCCGAATCACCTCTAAGGGGCTATTAATGGACACCCTTTCCGTGGTGCTGGCAGTGTCACATGTTGTTCAGCGTTTTTCAGTGCTGACGTCCGCTCCCGTTGCGACGCGCCCGCGCCACGCAGGCGGCTGCGGGGTATGCCTCCGAGGCCGCGGCCAAAGCGGTGAATAAGGTGAAGAACTTCGCGTTGCAGAGGCGGAACGATGGGAGTCCACCGTTTTTTGGGGTGGGTGGGACCCGTAATGGTCCGTTTTTCTCTGTTTTTTGGTTCGTCATTATTGGCAGAAGGTGATGATTGACCTTCGGCAGAAGGTGATTATGACTATAGGACCCCCTTATGTTTGTGCACGGGTGAAACGGTTTGTTTTTTAAGAATGAACGACGGGCTGGACAACCACCATTTCTTGCCTTTTTCTGATCATATGTTTCTTTGCTTATAACATATTTTTAACTCTTGGGGTAAATTCACCGTGCTGGGAATGAAGAATTCTTATACAGGACGCCAGAGAGGCCGCATGGCAAGAACTTTTTTTTCAGCACGTTTTGTTCATCTCGTTCATCCATGGCAGGATGTCATTTGTTGCCCATTTTCCATAGCCGAACCTTACCTGCGGTTTGCTTTTGGCGCCTTTCGCGCCTTCTTCGCTCTTCGCTGACCAGGAAGCTGCGCGGCATGGGACGGCGGGAGTTCACCAGCCGGGTCTTGGTGCGCAAGGCCGGCAGAGAGGTGGTTTGTTCCGCGGGGCCGAGGGGTTGACCCGCGGAATGCGATAGGGAGAGGGGAAGCATGGAGAAATCTTCGTTGAAAGATGACGGGATCGAACCTGGTGCAAAACACACATCCACAAACGTCCATTGCATGTCCGTAAGGTTTGAAGATTTGTTCTGCGGTTCCGCGCAACAAGTTGGAATTCTGAAGGTCTTTAGGATGTGTTGAGCAGTACCAGGACCCACTGTCGGGGTGGTTAATGGACACCCCGAATCACATCTAAGGGGCTATCAATAGAAGCCCCTGGTCCGGGTGTCCTGGTACCGGTAGTGTTTGGTCGTTTGGGTGACTGGATCAATAAGTCCCGTCTGAGGCATCCGAACATCGAGGGGGTGGTTTAGACGCCAAGGTGGGCCCTCGGACTTGCACAGGATTTGGTGCATGTTTGCCTCCAAATGGCTTTGGGACTTTGGGATGGGGCACGACTAGTATTTCGGAGACATATGCAGTGAGGTTTTCGAGTGGATTTGGGGGCTTCGCCTCTTTTCCTGGTCCAGCTCCAGCTCTTCAATCCAGCTCCATGGGCCCCACACCGAAGCTACTCACAGCAGCAAGGCGGCGGTTCGGCGGCTCTTTTTTGCCCAAGCCTTCTTCAAAAGGAAGGATGACCAGGACCAGCAGTCATAGCGCCACCTATGGTTCATATACTTTCAGCGAGGTCGTCCCCGGTTCTTCTGGGGGACCCCTCCTTGCTCGGGAAATCCCTGGTGGCCAAAACACCCGGGACCTCGCCATGCGCTGTCCGGAGCTGGGCGCGCTCGTGGCTTCTGCACTGATCGCTGGCAGCATGTTCCTCTTCACCAGCCTGGTGAAGGCGGGTTCCGGAACCCACCCGGCTAGTCGTGCGTGTTCCACACGAGGAGGCCGCGCGACACAGGTGAACAGATAGGGGGATCGAAGCAAGTGCGTGCAGTTACGGTGGGTCGGTGGGTCGGAACTGTGGGAAGTAGAATGGAGAATGGAGGACAGCTGAAGAGGAGAGAATCAACTTTTTGCAGCTAGTGCATGGTTCACCAGGGGCATGCCAGAAACGGTCCAAGAAGGGACGCCCAGTGCAAGCTTTTGGTTTTCCTGGAAGGTCCAGGTTGACATTTAGCCCCAGGGCTGGAAAGCTGCTGGAAGGTGACCTCAAAAAGGCTCTGATTCTGCATGCTGCTGAATGGGTTGCTGAACTCTTCGCGAACAGGACGCATTTCCACCCTTGAGCCTGGTGATGTTCCGCATGCTGCTGGGCAGCGCTGGGCTCCTGGCTGGGACTGCGAGCGCACAGGCAAACGGGGGTTGGGGTGAGAGGGGTCTCACGGAGACGAGGGAGTCGTTGGCGGTTTCAGAACACGTTATGTGCGGCCTCCAATAAGAAACCACCAGGTAAAGAGACTTCAGTCAGAGAGTCGTTGGGCTTCATCGAATTCAGCTCTGACCAGATCTGAAGCTTCAGGATCGGCCGTCCTAGTTGAGGGAGAGAGGCAAATGGGGCAATTGACTACAAGCCTGTAGAGTTGCAGGCGGTTTCCCCATTACAGCACTGACTTGGAGGGTTGGTTGGCTTGTTGGTTAGTTCCATAGCTGAATCCTGTAAGGAGGGAATCGATGTTTGGAAGGAACAAGTGCAGTAATCCTGAAAACATTGCCAAGGGTTCTTCTGGGTCGAACAGTAGTGACCAAATATCTTATCACATGTGCACAGGCAGACACAGGCGTGCAGGTGGCGGACAGCGCTGGGGAGCGCATCAATTCTAACATTGAAAGGGTGCCCTCCACCCACCATCTTCGTTGTCTTTCACCCACCCAAAGGAAAACTTGCGGACCCTCTGTCCCTTGCGCCCCCCCAAAAAAGCGCCCTTGTCTTCCACTTTCACGGATCCTCGTTCCACCCAATCACTGGTTGTTCTCCTCCTTGGTCCCCGGAGGGAGATCTTCCTTTATCCTTCGATTCCTGAGGACTCCTGCTGGACGGATCTGGACGGATCTGGACGGTTTCAGGCCATGGGCTGGCATCGATCCTCGTCTCCGGCACGGGAGGCGGCGGAGGGAGGGGCGCAGCGATCGATTCTGCGGGGAAGAGGCGAAGGCATTTCTGACTGAGGTGATTTGGGATTTCTGGATTGGATGAATTTTTTGTAGAAAGACCAGCTGAAAGATTCCTGAAAGTTGCACCTAAAGAATGAGATAAGTTTTGATCAAGAGCGTTCATCCATGTGGCTGTGGCCAGAAACATAAGGCTTGGGTCACACACCCAAACCCACACACGATCCATACCTCGATCCATTGGGTATGGATCAAAAGGTGGGTGTGTGATCCAAGCTCTTGGATCACATGGTGTTTGGTTGTTTTTTGGTTGGAGGGGCCTTCACTCAACAGAGGGCCCCACTCCCAGAGGTAATCCATGGATGGGGCAAGAAGCAAGAAAAAAAGAAATGCGAAGAAGAATAAGAAGAAGCAGAAGAAGCAGAAGAAGAAGAAGAAGGAGGAGGAGGAGGAGAAGAAGAAGAAGACAAGCAGGAAAAAGTGAAGCAGAAAGAAGAAAGGAGCGGGAACAAGGAAGAAGGAGAAGAAGAAGAAAACACGAAGAACAAGAAGCAAGATAAGCAAGCAGGAGAAACAAGAAACACGCAGAGAGCAGGAAGAGGAAGAGGAAGAGGAAGAGGAAGAGGAGGAGGAATAAGAAGAAGGCAGAACAAGAAAGCGACAAGCAAAGGACGCTGGGTGGCCTGGCATGCGTTCTGAGATTAGTGGCTTCCGCTAACTTGTTTTGGTGTCTTGCGCTCTTTGAGTAGATGGATTTTAAAAGGCCACCTCTTCTCAACAGGTCACTTGGCCTAATGAGCTAGCAAACCTTTGCTCGATTCTTCCCTGGGCTCCTTTGACTTATCCGTCCTAAGGCAAGGGGAAAACCGATGAAAGCAGCCACTCACTTTCAACTTAGCGGACTCGCTAAATCTTTCCAGAAAGCTTTCCAGCTTCAACTTACCGGAGGCCACTAATTGGAAAATGCATGATCACCAAAAACGTGTAGTGGAAGCCATTAAACTCAAGTTCCACCACCTGCCTGTCAACTCTTCGGTGTTGGGTGTGATTTTGCACTGGTCTGCAGTTTTCAAGCTGGTGGACCCAAGAACTGGAAGTGTGTGTGTGTGTCCCAAGGGATGTCTACTGGAAGCCAGTAAATGGAAAGTGTCATCAGATTGTGAACTTGACTTTCCTGGGTGAGGTTTTGCAATGCCTGGGCATTCGATGTATCCATGTGACATGGGGAGGGAGGTGTGCCAGACATCAGCAACGAAGCTGCGCTGCACTTAGCACACAAAATGTTTGGGCATGTAAAGGGCAAGCATAACAAGCGCACATGCACACGCAGCTGGTTTAGTGGACACCACTGTGTCAGGGGTTCAGTTGTGGAAGAGGCTTGGATCAAGTGAGCAAGTCGCGTGATCCGCAGGGTTGGGATCAGGGCCTTGATCTATGGGTATGGATCACTGTCGTGGCGCTGCGGAACGATCCACACCAGGGTTTTGGCCATGCCTATGTACCATCCAACGAAGGATTACCTGTAAAGTAGAGTGCTGATAAAGATGATAAAGAACATTGTGACTGTAAAGCTTCTGCATTTGTTATTCATTAACAATAGGGGGCCGTACTGAGTGGATAAAATTGGAGGGGTCAGTGCCTGGACTTTATCTGTGTGCCAGCCTGCCAGCAACGTATCCAGGGGGTCTGTCCTCCAAAAAAATCAACCCAAGTAAGGAGTGGATAATATTTTTTGGGGGTGGATAAAATGGGGTCAGTGCATCAAAAATATCCAGAATAAACGCTCCAATTTTATCCACTGGCTAGTGGGAGTAGAAAAGGAAAGAAAAGATAGAACATCGCTCGTTGGACGTTCGTTAGATTTCCGCTCGTTAGATTTTCCGAGCTCCATGGACGTCATGATCACAGAGAACCAAAAAATTGTCGGCGAAACTTGCCAACGGAACGTCAAAGCATCAGTCACCGCGGGCTTTCAACTGCTCCAACAGCTGGAAGCACTCTTGGTCAGCACCTTTCAGCTCTGGATCATTCTCAGTGGGACCCTGTGTTTCGACATGAGGAGTCTGAAAAATAGTGGTGAGGCCTCACACTCATCCAGGTTCATGTTATAGTCTTCCTCATCGGGATCCTGCACCAGGTCTTCCATGAGATTCGCAGCCTGTGAAAAGGACACGTGTGAAACATGTGCGTCCTAAAAACAACCTGGATATTTTCCTTGGTACTGAGGTTGGGGAGATATACAAACGACAAGTTGTGGGATACGCTGAAATTAATCTTCTTCTGCTGCTTCTGCTAGGTCTGGAGAGCTTTCAAAAAATTGCTCAACGGCAGCGAATATAAAAAAAAGGTGCGCTGACATCTGGACAAAACAATTTCAATGCAGAAGTTCCGTTCAACAAAGGAGCTGCTTCCCGGTCGCTCTGGGCATCGTAACCCTGATAAACTCCCGCTGGCATTCCTAAGTCCAAAATGTACAGTTCGACCAGCACTGCGGGCCATGCAATCGACATTCTTTTGCAAGTGGTTGGACCATTGATTCCAAACCAACCTCAACCACAACCACAACCAACCTTCTAAGGTTTGCAGACTTCCGCAACAATCCTTAGTTTTGCAGACCACCACAGAGCACATAGAGCGTTGGAAAAAAAACTGGGCCTGGGATCGTTTCTTTTTGTCTCGTTTGTCGATTAGCATCTACTTTTGAGGGGGGGGGTTCCTCGATCCTATTCGTCTAGCTTGCTAACCTCAGGCCTTCTCAAAATTATCTATCTGCACTGGTTGTGTACTTTTTTTTGGGGGGGCCTTATGTTGGCCCTCTGGCCTTCAAATTTATCCACCGGTTTTGGCTAAAAACCCGTCAGTCCCTGGAAATTATCCGGTACTGACCCCGGACGCCAGTACAACGGGGTATATTAACAGTTTACATTCATATGTTTGTAAGAACAAGACTTGACGGTATACTGGTAAAGCGGCAAAACACCATACTAACATTCCCATACCCATTGCGTTCGTTGAAGCGTCGCCCGTGTTGATAGGAGGTGCTCTACCTGTGCGCGATCGGTGCGAACCTGGGCATTCTGACAGTCTTGGGAGAACCGCCTAGAGGCTCCAATAGATTGAAAATAGTTGGTGTGGAAATGGGAACACCCCAAAAGCCGTGAGAGCGAAACTCGACTCAAACTTGCGTGTTGCTTTGGCCCAATGACCCTCGAATTGGGTGTTTGTGACAAACTCCACTAAACTTGAGGTCTTTGACTTGTAGTCTTTTTCCATGATTGTCCGCTTCCTCCATTTCTCGGGTGGGACGGTGGGACGGGCGCTCAGGATGAACACCGTGCTGCCCTACACGCTCTATGCCGCTGCCTTGGGCAAGGGCGAATCCGTGAGCTGCGCCTCCGCTTTGGTGCGGCCCCGAGCGACCCGACGAGCGTCGCGGGGATCGGGGAGGTCCATGGCAGCGTGGATTTGAAGGGTAAGAAAGAGGAGCAAACGAAAACATCTTTCGTTGTGTGAGCTCAGTTTGTTTTACGGTTGATTGAAGGGTAAAGACATCCAAAACGGAAAAACACAATGTTTTTGCTATAGGTATTTTCGCCGGGTCAACCTTTCTTTGAAGGGTCTGTGTAGGCCTAGCCTAGCCGACGTCCGTTGGATGATCCCATCTGGTGGAGACACGACCCAGGTAGGTGAATTCTCAAGTAGACAGGTCCAACGAGTTCAAATAGATACATTTTGGTGTGTCACGAGTTACTGTTTTGCGAAAAACAAAAGGTTTCACAGATGGGAACGGACATCTGGGAATTGTCAAACATCGTGGATGAGTCGAAAAAAATCTCTTGTTTTGGTGGGGGGCAGTGGACAGTGGACCCGCAAGGCCTTCCTCACCTCTCCGTGACGACGATCTCTTCATTTTCACCGTCCCCAATTATTGTCTATAGCCCAGACACTCCATGTATATCCATGTATGCCATATATGGAGCGTCTGGTAGCTCAAATAGGGAGACCCGCTGAAAAGACCCCCGCCACTTGCTTCCACCGGTGAGGCGGGCGCAACCCCTGTGTTCGCAGCCGGGCTGATGGCGCTTAGTGGCAAGCTGACGCTGCAGACGGAGGGGCCAGGCGGAGGGTGCAGACGTTCTGTTCAAAAGGGTGAACAAAGGGGGTCAACCGGAGGTGCCTGAGGTGCTGAAGTAGATGGAAGAAGAACCTTGAAAAGCATAAAGAACCGTCCTCCAAAACATGTCACTTGATGTGATTACCAAGTTTCCGTGAGCGACCACACCATTGCCAGGCTTGCTGCTGGGCTTGCTGGGCGTACCTCAGCAGCTATGGCCGCCTCCCCATCCGAAGGGGTCTACTAGAGTCTACTTAAAAATACACATGTCAATGAATTGGCTAACTGCACTTGTTCAGGTAAATCAATGCTTTGTTGGGGTCCATCACCCCTGGATGAACCGAGACCGTGGGACACGAGGTGCTTCTCATCGTCTTCCGCCGGGGGCGCTGGTCCCACGGCAGCTTCCAGGGTGTAGCCCTGCAAGTGCTCGGCGTCTTCTTCAAGGCACGAGCATGAAATGAGGTTCCAGGTCGGCGATGTTTTTGGATTCTTATATATATACAGTATATATATATATACTGTACCAGGACCCACAAGGCGTGGTTAATGGACACCCCTTAACATCTAAGGGGCTATCAATAGAAGCCCCTTAGGGTGTCCTGGTACATGAATGAATCACAATTTACACCACTTGACTTGCTGGTGCTGGCAAGAAACTCTTCCAACGACTAAGTGAAGAGCTTTCCGAAAGCCCAGCTCGGTCACAAGCAGCTGAAGCGACTTCACCAACCAAGAAAGCGCCAGAAAGCACCTTCATTTCAATATCTACCTGAACCTTCATGTTAAATTTATTGTGCTCATTTTGGAGATCCACAAATGTACTGTAGGCTAGTCTAGCCAGGAGAACCCCTGAAACAGGAAGGTGCCTGTCTATGACGAGCTGGTTAGTCCTTGGCTTCACCGCTGGTCGCTGGTCATTCTTCAGGCCTCTGCGGCCTGCTTAGCTGGGGCGAAGAATGCCAGGTGCGCGGACGTGGGACCTGTCTGGGTCCACGTGTTCGGAAGGCCGCTGAAGGGCGCTGAGATTCACCAGAAATGGACCAAGGCTAAGCTTTCATAGGTGGTCACCGATCAAGCATCTTCATTAGGCAACTCTGGAGAGGATCTTTGGCTAGAACAGCGGCTCCCAGAGCTGCCATGGCTCGCTCACTTTGGTACAATCCCCTCGACGAGTTACAGGTGGGCTGATGAAATCATGTCCAGTATGGTGTGAATGGAGGGCTGTGTGGAACATCAAAATGGTATCCAAGACTCGGCCGAGACACACCACAGAACTAGGCCCTGCCTGAGGTGGATGACCCTGAGTTTGGCTTGAAGATTTGGCTACTCCTCCATGTAGGAGATTCCAATGCGCCTTCCAAATCGAATCCGATACAGGGCCACTCTCACCAGCATTGTGGGGCCATGTGGTACTAAGGGAGGCCATTCTTTCGATGGCGCCGCACCGGGAAAGAGACACCCCGGTTGGGACCGGTGACTAGACCGGCAGGAAAGACCTCAAGGCCTCGGTGCTGCTGCAAGCACTCCTCCAAGCGCTCTGTGGCGCAGCTTTGGCGGCCGCCTGGAGTGGAGGATGGCGAACACAGGGAAAACCAATGCAAACACCACCCCCTGGATTCGACGTGCTTTTCGTTTTTTGGGGGAAAGAGCTTTCAGGGATGGTCACGAGGTGGACGCCCGTGCGTGGCGTTTCCTTGGCCTTTTCACCCCAGGTCTTCGGCTTCTGGAAGTTCTGCATGTCGACTCGTTTCTGGGGCCCTTGTTGGTCCCTTACTCAGAGATTTGAGGTCTGACCTGCCAAGAAGAAGTCAAACAGCAAGTGATACCAAGCCCAAGCCCGAGTGGTTTCAGATGATCAAACAACGACATGACCCTGGGAGTCCAAGACCATTTTTAAAACGATCTTTAGATGATCCGAAAAGGAACTTCCTTTACTTGGGTGGTGGCCTAAAATAGTCTTTGGACTTCTAGGGATGAGGAAGGATCTTTCGGGACTTCGACGCCCAAAGATCGTGGCCCCTGGAAGGACCATTCTCCTCCTACACATAGAAGGGGGGGGTTGTCCACTTCTACGAAGAGAGGTGAAGTGACCATAAATAGGACCCTACTGGGGTACTTATGGGATAGTCTATAGGGTCCTGCAACCTCTGTTGGTATGTTTGTTGCAGTGAGAGGCGTACGAGCCAGGCCCCCGAGCCCTGCCCCCGAGGTCCCACCCCGGACGCGGGGGCTCAGTGATGCGACGCGTACGGCGGGAACTGAGGCTGTCCTCTCCTTGCTCTTGGATGCTCGGGCGCAGACGCCACATTGGTTAGACCCCAAAGATCTCAGCCATGGTGGAAACTTGGCGAACGGTTGGGCGATGGGGTCGTGGTTGTTCCCCTCGTCGTTTTGGTGTTGGGATTATGTGGAAGAGATGTGGGCTATGCTTGGCTTGGAGTGATCCCTTCACCTTCACCAAGATTCCCGTCCAGAAAACATCCGAGTGGACCAAATTCCCTTAAGAACCCTCGTAAGGAAGATAGCCTTCAAGAGAACTTGCCCAAGAGATGCTGAGAGCCAAGTGCAGCCATTAAGCCATTGTCCAAGTCCGGGAGAGCAGTTTCTCTTCAGTTGGTGTGTTCCCATGCCATTGTCGTTTTCTCGGTCTACCACTTCTCCCAGCTTTCCGGCCGCAGGCTATGGCTTCTTGTTTTCGGTGACCTCTCAGCAATGGCTCTGCCTGGTGGCACTCTCTTTGATGGGGAGCTGCGTGGTCTATCTCCTTCAGCCTCCTGGCATTATGTGGTCCAGCAGTTGAGGTGATTTTTAACCAAGGGATTTGACTGGATGATGAGGATTAGGGGTCCTTTGCGCAGATCTAGTTGGCCCCCGAGGGGGCCCTCGGTGTCCCTTGAGATCGAAGAAGCAAATCCCTGTTTCTTCCTGGTTCTTCAAAGGGACCTTTGGAATCCTTCTGATATCCCGGTTTGAGGTCAGTTGGGCCTGTATAATAAGGTCACTTAGGCACTTAGGGGCTCCAAAAAGGGTCACTTCGAAGAAGCTGGTTGACTCGTTTCAACTTTGCCAGTTGGACATGCGCTGCCCGATGCCCTGCGTGCCCTGCGTGCACACCTGCCCGAGGATGGCTTCTCGATGGTCAACCCAAGTTATGGGGGGGTGCTGGTGATATACATTCAGCAAACTATATATAATATATGATTTATAAACAATAAATACAAACACACATACATACAACATTGAACATATAGGTGAAGAGCCATGTCTAAGACGACGACAATAGCTAAACAAACTCTGCTGGGCTCTTTGTACATGCCTTTATTTGTTCATCCCCAACTTGTGCGACCTGCTATGGAGGATGTGTCTTCGTGACTCACATGCTGCCCCATTCTCCAGCTGAGATTTCTGAGTCGTCCCAGATCTCTTCCCATCGACTGTTTCTCAACGAGTCTTCACAGGTTCTTCCTTTTGGCGCGGGTGGGCGCGGTGCGTCAAACCTTAATGGATCAGCTCGCGCCTCTCGGGCGCATCTCGGGGGTTCAGGGGCTAGCGGGGGGGGGGGGTTTGCCTCGCTGGGGACCGGGGGGAGCTGCTGAGACTTAAGGGTGTTGGCCGTGAGTTTTTCGTGGTAGAAATGTCAAGACATCGAGAAGACTGTGACCCGACTTAGTCCTTCCTGTTGGGAGGGACATCATGAGTCTAGTCCTTCGTGTATCATTGATTGTGATTGTGTTTTGAGGGCTATGGCACTGCTCTCTTGGTCTTTGTTTCAAACCATCCTCCCTGCTGTGTCCCTAGAGTAGGGGCTGGCTCACATGTCTCCAAACCTCCTCACACTGTGTGCAGCGCTTTGATCAGGTGCAAGGTATTCATCAAAACCATGGAACACGATATGGCGAAACCCTAAAAACGATAACGCCAAGAGGTTTAGCCACTTGCTCACATCTTGACAGTTGGGAGTTTGGGTTTGGAATTCTTTCCTGATCCCTCAAGCCAACGCCCCCCAAACGGTTTCATGTGTTCTCACCGTAGAGAATATATTTTTGGCACGGCACCATGACAGCACCGCACCGCACGGCACGTGGCTTCTTGAAGATCTGTCCTGCACTGGAAGGTCGACAGCGATGCGATGCTAAGAGCGATGTATCACTGTTTCCTTGTGGCGCCACAAGGCTCCGCGAAAGCAAGTTTACCCCCTGGAACCAGCCATGAAATCGTTTTCGTGGAGGCTACTTATTTGGTGGACGTCTTGCAAGCACCTCCTCCCCAAAATGGACTACTTGGATCCATGCACTTGTAGCCAACTTCGCCATACTTTCCAAGTAGGACGTCCCTCCCTCGACTTGAGACGCCGTGTCGACACCGGTCGACCGGTGTCCGTCTCCGTTCTCCCTATAGGCTGGTCATTGGTGTCGTGGAAGGAGGGCTCTTCCGCGGTGAATGGCGGGGGCACCCGACCGCCGGGACCATGCGGGACGGAGGGGATGGGAAGTGAAGGAATGAAACACCGTTTTTCGTTTGGGTGTTTCAAAGGTTTTTGGGTGTTTTCAAGCGTTCCTATTTGATTTCATCGTGCAACATATGATAATATGACAGTGTCTTCCCGAGCACCGACCGAAGTTGAAGAGACCTACCATTCAGAGACGGGGGACAAATGTCCAGAGAGGCTACAATGGGCACTTCAAACTTGCGCTCGGTATCGCTCACCTTCCGGAGACTCAAACCAACTCGCATTGTTTTTCTCAGTCAACGCATGACCAATTCAAAGTATTTTGATGTAATTACTATTCTTTGGAATCCTACCTTCTTTAGCTTGGGTCGGCTTCCACTAAGCTCTTCCACTCGACTGGAAGAGTTTTGGACTAAGCTCTCCACAGGCGCGACGCCTCTTTTTCCGAACTCTTGACCTTCCTCTTTGGCGCTGCCTGCGTACTGGTGGCGACCGTGGCTTGGTGCAGCAGTTGCCCTCGGGCGGGCCATGGAGTGGGGGTCGAGCGAAGAGCTCTTCCAATGCCTGGCAGAAAGGGTTGGTCCGTGGTCCCCAAATAGATAGTGGCACGAGTTCCGACATTTTCTATTTTTTAGTGGTACATTCTACCTTTCGATCTATTTGGGGGGTCTACCGTTTATGTATATATATAAGGGCTTTTCGTTGCATTCAGGTCCCATATCATGTCAATCGGGTCTCAAAGGTTCTTGTTTGCGGTTGTTGCTGCTGCTCTGCAGCCTTGCATTCTGGATCAAACCTGGCCTTCCATTCAACTTACCGCTCGAAAGGCCTGGACAATTTTCAACTAACCTCTCTACTGGACACAACTTGACTCGGCTTGCAGGCCCTTTCTATATCAGGCCCTCCGCTGCTCATCGAGATAGTGAGACTGGCATGGTCAGCTGAAGCCGGCTGTCTCCTTTGTTTGGAAAGTCGCCAGGTGCTTGCCACCATCATTGACCAAGATCTCAAGCTAGCTTCTGAGCAAACACATGCAAACACTTTATACCTACACTCAAAAACACGTGATCAAGCCGGAGATTGCTACATAATACTTTGTAGGTTATCAGTTGTCAAGCCTGAAAACTGCCAGCACGGATTTCAGGCCTGGCCGCTCACCATTGACCGCGGCTTGCTCAGCCGAATCTAGTGTCTGGCTGATCCTTTTCATGTCCACCAGCAATCTCCAATCTTTTCCAGAATGGCTCAACAGCAGCTTCAACAGCCAGCACGGAGTCAGCACAAGCTGCATGTTCCAAACACTTTCAGAATGCCTTAGGGGCCTCAGGAAGATTGTTTGAACAGAAAGTCCTGCAAACACTTGGCTGATCCCTGACACTAGGACAAACGCTACTAATTATCTACTATCAACTTTTGTCCAATACTCTGACTCGCCATGATCTCATTTCCCTGCTGATCACCTTTGCCGGGACCTCTTCTGTTTGGACCTCATATGGGCCGTTGCTGCTGGAATGGAAGGCACGATCAACTCAGCTCCGCTAGCTCAGGAATGAACCTCGTGAAGGTCGTGGTTCTGTCCCTGCTACTGTTCATCTCCAAGGATTGGCATGTTTTTGATTCATTGACTACTACATGTTGCATAGGCCTCCATGATACATGTTAGTTTGAATTTGAGATCTTTTTGTGCGAAGCCATTGGACCAATCAAAAGCTGTCAAGTCTTGCAAGTTTCAGTGTTCAACTGGGAGGTTGCGCCTCTCGAGTCATCCAAGCCAGCGAGCAAACCTCAGCTTCCGGGCTTCCATGTTTCTCATGGATACTCAAGTGTCTCCATGCTCCTTTTTGAGCGTCTTCAGGTGTGGGGCTTCCGTTAACATGCAGCGACGTCTGTCATTTGGAGAGATTTTGGTTCTAAGAAAGTTAGCTACACGTTATAGGATTGCTTCCTTTATGTTTGAAGCTCGCAGCTCAGGTTTTTTCGTCAGCAATCAACCAGGTCATTTGCCAGCTCAGGGAGTGTCGCAGGTTCTGTGCAGGACAGTACGGGTCACAGTGACAGACGCTCCTTCTTCAGAGATTTGAAACGAGAACAGAGCCCAGAGAAGACAGAGCTTCCAGATCCGTCAACCAAAGTTGTGAGGGTCAACTTTACTTTGAAGAGTTTGCTTGATTTTCAGTTGACATGCAAAACGCATGCTGCACATGTCTCTGGTATGGAGACAGAATTGGGGGATGGTGTCATGGAGCATCACAAGCGACCCAGCTACAACAATCAACAGCGAAGACTTTTGGCCAAGGGCCGAAACCATGGTGAGCAACCAGTCCGCACATAAAGTTACACCAACTCATCATGTAGTGTCCAAGTTGTTTTGTACCCAAACCAATCCCAAAGCCATACTGCTGCACTGCACTGGCGAACAAGGCAGAAGAAGAATGGTGCTTCCCCAAATCGGGTGAAACACCTGCAGGGTCTCCACCGTTGCCGGTGTCACAGAAGACAATGTTTCAGCAAGCTCGGGAAGCTGGGGCAGCTCCAATCATTTCTGGCTAGCTTTTGGGCAATGGCAAGACCACAACAAGACCTCTATGTCCTATCCTGAGCAGTAGTGCCAATATCACCAACGGTAAGCACACCTCATTCCAGCGCGCCTAGGTTCGAGACGTCGTTTGCAAGGGCAACAACAAGGTGCGGAAGACGTGGCACCTATTTGGGCACAAAATGTCTTGTAAGTGTGTCACTGCCGTTCTTGGTCTTGGCAATTCCCGAATGGCCCGCATACTGTGTGGTGCAATGGACCGACGCTTTCGAATTTGGGGAGGGGTGCCTCTGCTGGTTTCAGACTGGCATGTGTGTAGCACGCTTTTGCTAAAAATAGCTAGAAACTCATCGTTTTGGATAGTTGTGCAAGATGTGTCAGAGTGTCATGACAGCAGTAACAATATATACTCCTCAGTCAGCGCTTCGGGAGCCCCCAGTTGGCACGCTCGCGGATAACCCAGAAACACCCACCAACCCCCTAAGCACTCGCTTGGCTCAGCCAAGGGATCGAATCGATGCCCGAAGAAAGAAAAGGAGATCGATCATTTCTTACTTGACATTTACATCAAAGCTGCAGGGATGCTTCCATCTCGGTTTCTTGCCTTTGATTGGCAGAGGCTTGAAACATTAAAAACACCCTGTCCTGTAGGCAACACAAGTGTGTGTTGTGAATATGTCTTTGGCGTTGACAGGTTTCAAAGGGCAGCTCGTGATCGGAGTAGCCCTCTGAGATCCCCACATGAGAAGCTCACTGTTGAGCTGGACCACCATGGACTGCCTGACGAAGGCAAGACGAGGATCTAGGCAAACTTGAGTTCGGTCCTATGCTGGTATGTTGATATACTGTGCTAATATTACAAGCCTTCTATATATCTTTGCGCTGCTCCTTTGAAGGCTGTGAATCTGACGATGATGAGTCTGAGGAGAGCGAGAATGATGGGGACACGCTACGCGTAGGCAATGAATCACTTGAACAAGACGACGAGCTACGCATGCATATGCTAGGCCTACGATCATGTTACTGCAAGTACCTTGTCGGAGTCGCAAGACAATGCAAGACACATATCTCGCTAGATCAATACTTGTCACACTCTGTCACTATTTAGTAGACATCGTTCAATAGCCCAGGTATGTGGAGACCAATGGCTGTCGGAAGCTTGATGCGCTTCCAACACGTTTTCTCCCACCAGGGTCTATCAAAATGCTGCATCTACAATACCTTGAAGAGCGATCTACTCGTGTGTCGCAACTGGCTCACACTATAATTGTTAGTTGCTTAGGGAAATTCTCAACAGCTTTTGAACACCAGTAAAACCCCTTAGAACATGCTGCTCTCAGGTATTGCCATTTCTGGCGCCAATACAAACGGCGTTGGGCCCGTATCCTCAAATTCACGCCGCCTAGTACCCACGCATCCTGTGATGATTGCCTAGAGTTCAAAGAACTTTTCAAGATGGCGAAGGTGCCCTGGTACCAATCATTGAGTGAAGTACTGTGACAGTACCGGATAGTATCAACAGATCGTCGCAATCACTTACCAGGATCCACAAATGGCGTATGATGTAGCGAAGGAGTACAAGTGCCATGTCGACAGCGTAAAGAAGGACAGAGATTTAGAGGAGTATCTCCAGGCCGGAAAATTGAAGCACCACACGCGTGTCTTGTTGTGACTATGCCATGGGGCTACCCTGTGTGTGCGCGCAAAAAATATCAAAAAATCATGCCACGTGGAGGCGCAATCTCCTTTACAAGGCCATGGCCCACCATTGTGTATCCACATGGACACCCGGCTGAGATTATAGCTTCGCACCGTCATCGGGAAATGTTCTTGACATCTTCTCAGTCCTCTGCGTGTATGTCCCCAGGATGGGATGGATCAGGCAAAGTGGAGCATTCCACGTTGCAGATCCCTCATTACGCCAAAAAGCTTGGCTGGACACCACCGGTTGAAGTTCAAGGTACAAGGCGTTTGGTGTCACGGCGTCCTTTTGAAGCTGTGGGTTTTGGACCCTAGATGCAGCGCAGACTCTTCGACGATCGCTGAGACTTTGACAAGAAGTGTCGAGGATGTTATGAAGCGTTGTGATCTAAAAGGTGTTCGACGACCAGATCAAATCCTGTGTTGGGCTTCTAGTCTGCAAACTGCTTGCCTGAATTATCAACAAAGTATGCAACTAGCGCCTAGAAGTTGTTTATCCGCTGCTGCGTAAGGCTGACAACTGTCCAAGAGAGAACAAAAACAACACGATGCTCAAGTGGATGAGCTATGTAATCGCCACATTGAAGCTGAGAATGTCTGCGCTGTTATTTGCTCGCGTGGGCCATACGCATGGCCCACTAGGCTACCTGGCAGCCCAACAAACTCGTAGCAGTCAGTGCTTGATGAAACAAAGTCAGGTAGTGTTTCATGTTGTAGCAACATTGAACTTGCTAAGATCAAATTTTCGGGCTGCTTGCGGTGGCGTTCCGCTACATCGACCTCCTGTGCGACGAGCAAGACATAGTACAGAGCCCCGCTGACACTATATAACCGTAAGCAGTAGACATGATCATTTTCGATTTGGCTAGAAAAAGGATCAGGCCTCTTGGATCCTCTTGGGCAGCTCAGACTTTAAGCTTAGGAGGGTGTGGAAAATTAGCGGCTTTGAGTAAGTCAGGCAACCCATGACCAATTTCAGATTCAATGGGCTGGCTAAGGAAGCTTCATCAAATATTGAACCAGCTCAAAATTCGGACATGGCTCGGTGAAGAAGCAACCATCGATGTTGAGTACATCTCTGGAACGAGGAACTTCAAGAGTTGGACCTTCACCTGAACTAATGGAATTATGTTGGTTGTCGATTGCCCTGCAATTGCCCTGCACTCGCATGCCAGCCCGCTCGCACGCATAGCGCTTCCGGCCTGCAGAGGTTCGAGAAAGCACCAGTCACCTTCAAAGGCGGACTTCGAGATGATT